ACAGGAGATTCGCAATCGCCACTGGCTACAAGTCATGAGTGTAACGGGATCGTCCTTCCAGCTTGAAGCGCACATCTTTAAACTTGTCCACTTGTTGGATATTGGTTTACTACAGTAAGTGCTGCTAGGAAATAGGTAGAGCCAATTTTCATGTGGCTTTTCTCTCTAGTAGACTGCTGGCGGCCGGTCTTTTCTCATAGGGTCAGACCGCGAATGCAAAAGGGCAGTATGGACAATATTGGCTGGGGCGAGACGAGAAAAAAACGTAAATACACCTAACATCAGAGGTAAAGAAAAAATATGGTCTTCTAGTCTGAAACGTCTCGCCTCACATTCCCTCTCCGATTTAGAGATAAACAGATTTCCAGCAGTCTAATATTTCTGTATGCTAACGTTTAAATGAAGCTTGCTTCCATTTAAGATTACTAGAGGTGGCTTCTTTTAAATCCCGCTGACGGTAAAGGAAAAGGAGAACTACAGTTTTTATGAAATGGCCCAGTGGGGGTTAAGAAATTCACGTAGTTTTCGTAACGTATCTAATGTGAAAAGGTAGTTTATTGTTTACCAGTTAGACAATTCACCTAATTTCAAACCACAGTTAAACCAAAACCAAAGTAATTGGCTGATTACTTTCGACGCTCAATTGAAAACTGCTCTAAGCTGAGAGCAATTTGACTTAAATCACAGACACCAGGCCGCTATAGAAGAAATCTGCAGATGCGCCAGCAGAGAGCTGGAGTTAGAGGCCAAGATGAGGAGCACTGAGGAAGAGTGGACAGAGCAGGTATCACTACATAGAGTACTATTTACTAATTCATTACACACCTTGCTCACTCGCAATGCTACTTACACATCTAACTCCATACTGTATTGTACGTATACATAATTCCACTGCAGCGGCTTTCATTTACGTTTTCAACTGGTGGGCAACTGGTTTTCACAAGCGGGCAAAACCTTTTGAGCTGAACATCTTTGCAAGAAAAACTTTCGTCTAGATGGTCAAACCAGACAGGCAAAATTACCCTCACAGTCAGTCAGTTTGCCCGCTGTCTGGCCCTTAATGAAACCCGTGCCACTGTACCATTAGGTATTTACACATGCCAACTATACGACGACGGATATATGACAAGTACAAAATGTGTATGTATTTTAATTCAGAATTTCACAGATTTCTAGATTTATTCAGAGTGCCTGTCAATAGAAAAACCTGCCTCTGCTGAATATGCTACAAAAGCGTTCAGTTCCTAATAGAAATACGAAAAAATGAGCCGTTGTGGTCCACGTCCTATAAAAAAACAAGGAAATTGGTCATTTCACTCCGTTGTTGATTTGCAAAGGCTTGATTTGATTTGCAAAGATTTGTTGTAAGTTCTGGTCTTGTTTTGCGTAAGGTCCCTCTTAATATTAAATTATGTTTTCTCGGCTTCGGAATAGTGAATGAATTTTGACAAAACTTTAAAGGTCGTATTTTTTGTCTAAATCATACTCACTGTACATGCGCTACTGTTTGCAGGTTCTTACCTTTGAGAATTTCAAAAACAGAGGTCTAGTGTGTCTGAGTCACAGTAACACTGAACATTTGCTGGACCTCCTGGAAGATGCCCAGGCCACTCTCGCTCTGATGCTGACGTCACGTCACATAGGACCACTCCGTGATGAAGCAGCGGCTTGGGCCATCAAGTTGAAGGAAATCAGTGAGGTCTTGGAACAGGTATGAGAAAAACGAAACAAGATAAAAAATTGCAAACAGACATAAGTTGATTATAATGAAGAAACGCTTCGCTATTTATCAATTTGAAGTTGACAAAGGTAAATTTACCACCTTGGCGAGTTTGAGAAGCTATTATCTTAAGTGATAGCATCCAGCGCACAACCCACATTCCCCCAATTTCTCCGACGAATTAGTGCGAATGATCAAAACGTCCGCTTTCCGAAAGTGCTACGGTCGTTAATTTACATTCATCAGCTTCTAGTTGATACCTACCTTTGTGTTTCACTTGCCTGCCAATGAAGTCTGGTAGTTTCTTATTTATAGAGCAACATTACCTTTTTTCAGCTCTTAGCTAGATACACGACCCCACAAACAAGGCTGTTTCTTTAAACAAAATCATATATATTTTAAACAAGGGAGTGTTGTTGTTGTTGTTGTTGTTGTTGATGACGATGATGACGACGATGATGACGATGGCGATGATGACGACGATGACGACGACGAAGACGAGGACGAGGACGAGGACGAGGACGAGGACGAGGAGGAGGACGACGACGAGGACGACAAGGACGAGGAGGAGGAGGAGGACGACGAGGACGACGAGGACAACGATGTTGATGATGATGATGATGACGATGACGATGACGATGATGTTGATGACGATGATGTTGATGACGATGATGATGATGATAATGATGGTGATAATGACGATGACGATGACGATGATGACGATGACGGTGAGGGTGATGATGACGGTGACGGTGACGGTGACGGTGACGGTGACGGTGACGGTGACGGTGACGGTGACGGTGACGGTGACGGTNGTAACACAAGTGTGCCTGAAAGGGAAAGCTGACACTTAATTCAATGGTCTATTCTTCTAGATCTAGCCCATTCGAATAGCCCCCTCACAGAGAAAATTCTCAGGTCAACAGCTTCTTGTCATAAGATTTTTTCATAACGTTTTCAATTCGGAATTGAAAATATACCAGTTCTGTCTGGGATAAGCTATTTCCGAGTTGTGCCTAGTTACCACTGTTTCAAAACGAGTCTTTTAACCTTTCAAAATGAGTTTTTCTTGCACGTTCATTTTCTTGCAAATCAATCCCATTTCCATATGAAATTTCCTGAAGAGTAGCTTCCATCTCCGTTTGGTTGTGCACCAGAACACGTTTTGAAACAGAGAGAAAAAAGCAACGCGAAAATGGCTTAATATGTTTGATTGTTACTGCAACACAATCTTCTTTCCTTGTAGTGGTTGACAGTTCAGGATTTGTGGCAGCATCTTGAGGAAGTTTTCAGCCATGGTGGGACAGCCAAGGTAATGAAGTTGTAGAGAGATTGTTCAACACGAGTCCATCACATCTCACATCTCGTATTGTCCTTTGTAGGATTTACCTCAAGAATACAACCGGTTTGCAAGAGTAGACAAGAGCTACATGAAGATGATGAAAAGAGCGTATGAAACAAGAAATGTTTTGCAGGTATCAACGCTAACAAGTCTGTTTAGAAAGCCATTCATGAAAACGTACTCTTTGACAACGTCCAAACTTTCTTTTCTGCTTTTCCATTGTTTCAGAGTATCATTTTCGGTTCTCAGTCTATTAAAATAATCCGTTTTGTATGTAGCAACATTTTTTTAATGTTTTAATTTTTCATTTTTTTTTTGTATGTAGCAACATACCAAAGGTAGTTAAGTGTATATAGGTTACGGTGGTTTAGGCTTCCAGGTTTTCTTGAGTTGTAGTTATGCATACATGTACATGCAAGTGTTGTGTAACCCTGACCTGATTGTTTGTGCATAGTGCTGTNCGTATGAAACAAGAAATGTTTTGCAGGTATCAACGCTAACAAGTCTGTTTAGAAAGCCATTCATGAAAACCTACTCTTTGACAACGTCCAAACTTTCTTTTCTGCTTTTCCATTGTTTCAGAGTATCATTTTGGGTTCTCAGTCTATTAAAATAATCTGTTTTGTATATAGCAACATTTTTTAAATTTTGTAATTTTTTATTTTTTTTTCTTGTATGTAGCAACATACCAAGGGTAGTTAAATGTATATAGGTTACGGTGGTTTAGGCTTCCAGGTTTTCTTGAGTTGTAGTTATGCATACATGTACATGCAAGTGTTGTGTAACCCTGACCTGATTGTTTGTGCATAGTGCTGTGTTGGTGGTGATGTGCCAAAGAGTCAAATGTTAAAACACCTTGGCGAGGAGCTGGAGATCTGCTTCAAGTCGCTTGTTGGATTCTTGGACTCAAAAAGAAAGGTAAATGTGACAAATGTGCTTGCCTTTGTGAAGGAGTCGATCGTATGGGTTGACCAATCAATCAAAGAAACGTGCCAGGGTGTTTTAATGAAATGCATAAATGTATAGTGTGATTTTTAGCCACAGATTAGTTTTGAACTAGTTGGAAATGTTAGTTCCATGTACATTAAAGTAATAGGTCATATTGGTATTCGCGGTATTCACTGTAACTAGCTTGCAATGGAGGCTCGTGGAGGAATATCATTAAAAAGAGAAAAATCTCATTTGCATTTGAAAAGACTTCTCGTATTAGCCTCAGTTGCAAGCTAGTTCCAGTCTAATACCGGGAATACGAATATGGTCTATTATATAGTACGCTTCACCATCTGTACTGTAGGTTCCCAAGTCTATAGAAGTGTTGTTTAGAAATGCAGGCAGCTTTTGATTCATTAACCACTCATTTTCCTTCTATACTTGCATGTAGATTTCGTGCTGGTTTGATTAGATATGCCCTTTCCTCACAGTATCTGTGGGGTCTTGTAGTGGTGAAGTCTTGACATTACGTTATCACCTTGTCTGGGAAGGGAGGGAGGGAATGTGGTTGTTGGTGTAGCCTGGTGTACGAAGGGAAGTGATGGCTATGTACTGATGTATGTTTTTTTGCACGGTAGGTCTTCCCTCGCTTCTGTTTTGTGAATGACCCTGTGCTGCTTGCGATTCTAAGTCAGCCCTACAGCTTGGATTCTGTGAAGCCACACTTCAGGTAATAACAACAGTGTCAGAGACACAATCCGCCGATGGTGAATGTTGGTGGAGAATTTCTTTGTTAGAGGGACTATTTCAATTGAAAAATGCTCATGTTACGTACATTGGGGCCTATAG